TGATACGATGGATTATCGATTATTCACGGCCAGATCAGTTCTCCCATAAAAATCCCATAATTGGTTGGATACGAAAAATATGATCTCCAAATCCGCTCCGCTCGACGTCCTCTCATCCTTTTTCTCATCCTTTTTCTCACGTAAATAGATAGATAACAGACGCGGAATCACGTACACATGTCTCTAAAATTAACCACAGTAAAGGATACGCGACACTCGAGTCGTAGTCTCCCAGGGAAAAAAGAAAATTAGCGTTGTTTCCGCGAAAAATTAACGACCGTTGTGCACGGGAAGGACGGGGGAGCCGAAACGGAAGTTCAATTTTCCGGGGTTATTCCCCTCGCCCATCTGTTTCGCACACGGTTGAGGAGGCCCCCCGTGCACCCGCCGACGTTTATATCGAACGGACTCGCGTTGCACACTCCGCGACCGCGACGCTTATTCGCCGACCTTAACATTTTTCGCGGCGCGCTCGGCTGCTCGATTCGCGATTTAAGTGACTCAGCTCTGGATTCGGCGCCGGTGACGAAACCGCTCGCGATTCAAGAGCGCGGCGCAGAGGCGATTGGTAAGCTTCTGTGCGTAAAGCTCGATCGAGCGAGCGGCGAGAAGAAACCGCGCCGCGCGAACGTGGATGAAAAATATTAAGCGAGGAAGATGGATCGCGTATGAAACTTTCTCGGAGTGGGGGGGGAGGGAGAGCTCTGCCTCTCGCGAGAGAGGAGCTTGCTCTGCCTGCCTTCCCTCGACAGATTAACGTCGTTGTTGCGTGTGCTCCCGAAATAGCGCATACCGCGTAAACGACACGAGTGTGTACACTTCTTCCTTCTCCTCCCGCGCATCCGCGAGCAAGGGAACGAACGAACGAACGAACGCACGCACGCACTTCCGTCGAGCACGACGCGACGCGGCGGAAGAGGATGCGCTGTTGGACGCGGAAGCGGCCGTAGATTGTGATCGGTCAGCTTCGCGAGATCGTAGAGTTGACATCGCGATTGTCGGCGCATTCATTCGCGAGTTTATTCCAGGTTAACGACGGAAGGAACCGCTATTCTCTTTTTTTCCAAACCGGAGCGGAGTGGAAGTTGAAGCAGCGTGCTCTACGTAGCAGGAATGGCGCTCGAAGATGAGATATTTTGAATCGCTCGTCACCGAGAGCAACGCTGTTGAATTCGTGGCGTCAAGTTGTACTCAATTTGAGTCATTTTTAACCAAAAGAATAAAGTTGCCACTGCTCAATATGTCGTTAATTTAACTAAAACAATGGAGTTAATAACTAATGGAGTTAATAATTAAAACGTATTGGTTTAATCCTTCAATATTTAACAGTAAAGTGCCGTCTGCAGAAGAGAAAGCTTGCTGCTGCAAGATTTGAAACTTGGATGTAAAAATATTGTTCGTTACCCAGGTAGCAATTAATGTCTAAAAGACATCATAAAGACATATCTTTAAGATTTCTGGCATCTTCTTTATGATGTCTTTTAGACATTAATGCTACCTGGGTAGAAGCCTCGTTAGATGCTTATTACACCGTTAAATTCGTAGTCAAATTATATTCAAGTTGAATCATTTTTAACCATTTCTATAAGGACCGCCACTACTCCTACTCAATATGTCGTTAATTTAACTGAACTAATGGAGTTAAAATAATAAATTTCGACTCACATGGCAGTTAAAAATAACTCAAAGTATTGATTTCATCCTATAATATTTAACGTGTGTAGCTTTTCACTGGCCGGAAGCATTTTCCTCGAGAATGCGGAAAGGATGTTTTTTATTGAGTCTAAAGAACGTCCAATTTCCATATTATTCATAACACTCGACTGATTTTCAGCTTCCGCTCTCCGACGGTCAGATCTCGCCAAGTTTCGACGAAGCTTCGGGACACGCGTTCAACTCTCGATCCTTGAATTTTATCTACGCGATACACGGTAATGGTTCCTGATAATTCTTACGTAACAGCCTACCTCAGTAGGGACAAAACGCGACAACGCTGCATCGATATATCGTTCAAGACCTTCGAATCAAGGAGAATCGAAAAGAGGTTTACTCCGTTAAACTCAACTTCCGCTTTTTGCCCCGTTCAAACCTAATCTCGCCCTCGAGATGCACGCGAGTTTTCGAGAGACTCTCTCCAGACGTTTCGCTCGCGCCGCCGCGATCGAGTTGCGAGCAAGCAGGCAGGTACAAGGACAGGTTTATCTCGAGCGATCGTCGCGCGGGATCGCTTTATTTGCCCTTCCACGCCCATTGACATCAATTTAAAGCCAAGCTGACGCGCTGGCGGCCCCGAGGGGGGCCGCGATTACCGTCGCGCCGAGCGTCGCGGCGGGTACCCTTCGCTCCAGGGCACTCGCGTCGCCGCGCGGCACGAATTATTAAAAAAAAAAAGGAAATAAAAGAAAAAGAAAAACCCAGAAAACAAGGCACGTACCACCGCCCGTTTCCCCGTCGCGTATACGAGCGACAACGTTAACACTCGCGCGGGCGTGGAGTTACGTTCGATTCCGCTCCTCGGCGCTCGGCGCGTTCAATGGAAGCGCCGGGAAATTGGGTCACCGGCAGATAGGTCGTCTTGACAGGTGAACAAAACCGTCGGCGGCGGGGAGGGAGGGACGAACTAACGGACGGACGGACGGACGGACAGCCGGACGGCGGGGAGGGGGCGGCCCTCGATACCGCGGCGGAAATTAAAGTCGACCGACGGCGAACCACGTCGGGAGAGAGAAGTATCTCTCTCGGGCAAGAGAAAAACCCGCCGACCGGCCGCCGATCGAAACCAATCGAGCGAGGATCGGGGCGTCGCGCGCGGGGGAAGGGTTAAACGACGAGCACCGCTGACCGCGGGAGAAATCGGGAAAAGGGGGGGGGGAGCGAAGAGGGCGGTTGCGGACGACGCCGCGATTCAATGAGATAAGCACGGTGGGGCCACGTTCTTCGTCAACGACGACGGCAATCAATGCCGGTAGAGCCCTACGGCCTCCGTGGGCGACACGACGCGATAACGACGCCGCGCCGCCGTCGCCACCACCGCCGCTGCCGTCGCGACGCGATCTCCACGGATGGGACGCGATCGTTATTGACAGCGCGACTCACCGTCGCGACGCACCGGCACCGACGGGCCGTAGTACTATCCAGTATACTACTATGTATGGAGAAAGAGAAAGAGAGAGAGAAAGAGAGCGGAGTGGAGAGAGAGAGAGAGAGGTAGAGAGAGAGAGAGAAGCCGAGGCGGCGCACGCCATTTTTATCCCGACACCAATATCCACCCGTCACCGAGTCGAGGCGGCGACTCGGATCCGCGCACCGTCCGGCGTTTCCGCCGTAAACGCCGGCGGAAGTGAGAGCGAACAAGCCGGGCTTATTACTTACCCTCGCGTAAGGACACCCCGCGGACACCGTCCCGCCTCGCAACTCGCATAAAAGTCCCGGCCCGGTAACACCAAAATACCACCAAATAACGCGATCCAACACCGATCCGCCCGTCCACACACTCGACCGGCGCGCAACCGACTGAGCGGCGCGCGGCGCGCGCCTACGCCGCCGCAGCCTAGTCCCTTCGCGCAAAAAGCGCCGCGCCGCGCCGACGCCGCCCGCTCGAACGCGGAAAATTGGAAAAAGTAAAGAAGGTGCGCGCGCGATTTTGGGTGTCGAAAAGGAAAAAAGAAAGGATCGAAAAGTTCGGTTCAGGAGCAGACCTTTTGCAATACTGTGTCGATCGAATAAAACTCCGAACTCCGATACCTGTGATTTCGAAAACAAATAATAACGAGTGAAGCACGACCGTTTTATGATATACAATCAATTAGAGAGAATCATTAGTCTCAACTCAAGTTCTTACAATCAATTAGTCTCTCTAATTGATTTCGAGAACGTTGCGAGATTGTAACATTATTTTCAACAAACAAAAAACGTTTCTTTGAAAAAAAAACTTTTTTGAGGATTATATATTTGGTTCTACAGACTCATCATTAGCGCATTGCAATTTACGTGTGTAATGTCGAGATAAAATCTAACTGACTTCAAAAGTATGAGAACACTCGTCTGTATAAACTACATTCGCAGATAAACGTAAAATTTGTACTATATATGTACGTAAGCAAAACTTTGCGCGACGAAGAACATCTCGAAGGGAATGAATAAAAGATCTTCAAGAGAAGAAAAAAATAATTACGAAGAGACTACTGGCAGTTGCGTGCACAAAACTATAATAAATATTACAGTAATTGTTACAGTTTTGTTTTTTTCGCAACTACAGATGTTTTTTATAAGGAATCAACATTTTCAGGAATTTTGAGATAAAATATCGCTCCAATTATTTTTTTTTTGTAAATAAAGATATGTAGATAAAATAATATAAACAAAATTATCGATTACACGTGTAAAGGGAGGGAATGTAAAATCAACGTGGCGTCGGTCGCTCCTCGGACGGTCGCGAGCATTCTCATCTGTACTGTACCTGTCTCTCGGCCGTCTTACGCCGGTCGGCGTAGGAATACACGATCGCTTATGACATCATCAATCCGTATTCTGGACCGCGGTCACGCCCCATCCTCCGTGTCGCGCTCGTTAGGAGTGCTTGACTCTTTCTTTTTCCCTCCCCGTTATTATGCAGATGCGTGCCCCCCCCCCGCTCGCCACGTCGCTCGCGCGGTAAAAGAGCCCCGCGCGGTCACCCTCGCCGGAGAAACCGCGCTTTCCGGTCCCGCAAACCTTGCGATTTCGAATGTCACGCGGGGGCGATTATGCAGCCAATCGCGCCTCGGCGCACGAAACGCTTTGCGAAGGAATTCAAATCGCGCCGAGAACGCGACTGTGGGCTATTTGAGTTCATCTTTTTTTCTTTCGAATTTTACTTTACGCCTCAACTGCTTCGATCGTTATCGCAAAGATTTTGATCGATAAAATGCTTCTTGCGTATTCTGTTTTTTTTTTGCACTCATCTTTTGTGTGGGATATAAAAAGCATGCTATGGAAAAAGAAACTGCAGTACAGAGACGGAGTTTTACTGGTAATTTTTAATAAGTGGCTGCAGAGTGGATACTTTTTGAATTTCGCGTAATAATACATGTATCGGAATTTCGTATGCGAAATTCGTATATATAAAATGCGTACATTGGATATATATATACAATCTTAAACTTATGTATCATGAGAATTATGACTTGTACGTATAATCTTGCGACTCCGTCTTTATCCCTTGCGATCTTGACACGAGTAATGCACTATATCACCATTGGGATATCTCGCGAAAGCGCTAAGGAAACAGATCTGATTAATATCGTAGATAATTTGTGAGAACTAATCTACGTACGTCATAAACACTTCAACATTTAAATACGAGAGATTTATAGAATTCAATTATAAAACATATATACGAACCTTTGGTTGCCAAATCGTTTTTTACAAACTGGGCATATATTAAATTCTGTCATGAGGACGCTCTGTGATTCATAGTGCATCCGTTGCTCCTGCACTTGTAAGTGCTCCGCGTAAAGTAGCCCTTTGAGAACCTGCGTCCTCCGCCTTGCGTTCAGATTGTTCTGCAAACTAACTTCCAGAAAGTGCTTTATTCTACCGATAGGAACGGAATCTGGTAGAACCTCCAGAACTTTCATAGGATTTATCTTTGAAGCATGTTCCTCCAACAGTCGGAGGGCCATCTCTAAATCTGGCTGTGTCGTTCTTTGAATTTCCGGATTACAACCTTAAAAAGAGTAAAAATATTTAAAAGGATATATACATAGAAATATAAAATAAAAAAATAAGAAATTATATTACTGAGTACAGAAATTTTGTATGTAATCAAATCCCGTTTACATCAATATTTACCAGCCATTAAAACTCCTTCGTTGTCGGGTTTCAATAGTTGCTGAATTAGCAAAACGTATACTTCGTCGGCATTATCCGTTTGCTTTTGTTTCTCCGCACGATCTTGATCTTAAAATAATGCCCAAACAATTACATTTTTTACTAGCTTGCAATTAACACTTAACATAATTACTTAACTCAACTTACTTTGATACCTTGTATATACATTTTGGCAATATTGTGTTGCACGCGGTATATCGTTTAAAAGACTAACATATATCGATATAGCTTGCTGATGTCGACCGAGTCGTCCAAGTATGATCGCACGTTCTTCGAACAAACTGTCAAATGGAAAATGCACTAATATCGTTTCTGGGGTATAATGTGCCGATTTCTCCAAGAATTGTTGCAACTTCTGTCGGACGTGCTGCGAAATTTCTTTCTCCGCTGGCGTTGCGTTTGCACTCATGGAGGCCAGACACTTTTCCTTGTACTGATGTATCAAAACGTTGTGGAATAATGGATTGGTGTCTTCCCAAACATGTACTACATGTTCTAAGTATTGTATCACTAAATCTTTGTGGAAACGTAGAAGGTAATCCAATATCTTTGGTCTAGGTAAATGTTCAACTTCCTGCAAAATACACCAAAACACATAAATAAGAAAAATAATGAAATAATAAATGAGAAAACTAAACAAAGATGCAGCACCTGTATATCTTCCATAAATATTCTAAGGCCTTGCTCAGGATCCTCCGTTAAAACCCATCCGGCAAACTTTAGTATTAGATCCATGTGATCCTTGCCGAGATGCTGCAAATACTGTATAGTTCTCTCAGTGCCTTTCAGACTAGAATCATTTTCCTTTGCGTGTTTCTCCAGTAGCTCCAACGCTTTCTTGTGCTGCCCTTTGGTTTGATACAAAATAATGAGCTCCGGATATTTCTGATGCATCAATAAAGTTTTCTCAGCTTCTGCCAAATGACAGTGATTCAGCCTAAGTAAAGGCGCCACCAACGCGTCAGTAGTCTAAAACAAAATCAATTCAACGTTTATTTTACTACAGTCTTCGCAAAAAGCCTTTTTTTCCGCAAATTTTTATTATTCCTTTTTCTTTTACCTGTAAATAGCACTTTAAAAGGGTAGTATCTATAATCTTCAAAAGCTGCTCCGTAGCTACAACAGTTAGATTTTTTTCTCCATTTACTCCATTCTTTTCCTTTCCAAGTTCTTTGTCTTTTGCCATTAGCTTATGCCTGACCTCGGTTAGAAAAACTATCAATGCACGTAAGCCCTTTTCCAAATCGTGATCTTGCAGCTTCGGTAAACTGGGCGCTGGTTCACTGAGTTCATTAACATTGGTCGAAGGCGTAACTAGATCTGGAAACAATCTGATCACCTCGTACGGATCGGTCCCCAGTTTCAAAAACAGATCCATCGCCTCTTGGAATCGCTTGTTGTAGAACAGATGATGCGCGTACAACGTTTGTATCTTGTATGTTTGTTTGGCTTTCTCTTCGTCTGTTATGTCTGATAGACTCTAAAATATATATTCTGCATAAGAAAATAAATTATAACTTAAATTGACATTATATGTAATTAACGTACAGTCAATTTTAGCGCCAACTGAAACTGATTTTGCTCCAGCAAAGTCCTAATTTGTAAAGTAACATCAATTGCCTTGACACACCAAATCTGACTAATGGATGCCACAAAGACTTTCCCTTGTTTACACCGGTATATAAGTCTAGCCTTATTTAGATCCTTTATTGTCTGGATATGCAGACATCCTTCTAATGTATACACCTCCAATCTGTCGTGTACGATACCAAGTAAGTAAGGATCATCCCATGCTGAAATACATTATATAAAAAAATTTAATTAATCACAATTAAAAAGAGAGAAAGGGAAAATAGTAATGATAAAGTATATTCTCTATACCTATTACATTAGGTGTATCTGACCACTTTACTGGGTTATGCTGAACCAACTCTCCCTTTGTATCCATAATAAACGATTGAGAATCTTTGCCCAGGACAAAGGAACTGTCTGATAATTTCGTAATACTTGGTTCTGGAGATTTACCGGTGGGAAAGAGCTCCTTAGGTTTACCGTTTAGGTCGAAAATTGTATAAGACAGTCCACGAAATCCTAATATTAACGTTTCGCCGCACCTCGATAATTAATATAGATTCATCAATAGAGCAATTATGCTGAGGCATTTTAATAAAGCTTCAGTATGCCTTACCATGATAGCTGACGAGGTATATCCGGCACGGTTAGCTCAAAATCATTAAATTCCTCAAACTTCTTTCCCTTCCAATAATATAGCTGCAATTTACGTTTGACAGCGACGCACAAGCGCACCACAGTGTTCTTTTCTCCTGTCAGGCTCTGAGTCGACTGAACCTCCAGAGTAAACAGGGTGGCGCCGCGGGTCTTCGGTAATTGACATATTTGTTGAAAGTTTGGCGAATTCAAATCATGAATGCACACAATGTTATCTGTAATTTTTCAACAATTAGACTAAGAAGCAAATATCGCTGTCACATAAATTTAACTCATCGCGACATTGTCAACTCAGCTATACCTGTCAGGATAATCAATAAATTGTATTCTGGCACAACGTCTATCTGATTGATTCGCTTCTTGTTAAAATTCTTGCTGTGACGTAACAATTCTAGCTTGTGGCTGTCATCGAACACCGACGGCACGTTGTACATAATAAGATGACCTTCCCTGGTGCCTATCAGTAAGTTGTCATCTGAAACAATTTAGAAATTCAATAAACGCTCCACTAATCCCCAGGAATTCCTGACAATCCCATTGCATTGACCAACCAAGGGTCATCTCTTACCATACGCAGCCATAGATTCAATTTGCACAGTGATATTTAATATAGACGTCTCCTCGTAAGCGTCGTGCATCGTTGCGGTTTTTAAAAAAGAATATATTAAAAAGATAATCACGCTTTATTAGTTGAATCTTTCAAACTGTCAACGATACTCGAGTTGTTGGTCGACAACACATTCCCAGTGCATTCTACTGCATCTTCCTGAACGCGATTTGACGTTAACCATCAAAGTAACTGCAGAATCGTGGCCGAACACTGAACTGACCTTAATGATCTTGAGCACTCGGCTTAACACCCGCTCGTCCAATTAGCGTCCCGCATTCTTGCACGCTGAACTTTCCATTGAACATCTCATTTATGTTTGGAGATTTCTACCGTTTTCCTTTTGTTTTCTTACATAGGCCGGTATTCATAG